AAGGATGGGAACTGTTTCTCTCTCTGTATGGACTGCTTTCCCTGGCAAGGATTTCTTGTTTTTGTTTCCACCGACTTCTTGGACCCTAGGGACCCCATGTGCTTTTGATACGTTTGATGGAAAACTTATTCTAGAAAAATAAAAATAAAAAAGGAGGCTGTCATAAGGAAAATAAAAGACCCAGAGTCTGATTTGAGTGGGATTCAAGCTCACACTGAAGATCAGAGAAGCAAAGCAGCCAAGAGCTCTTACCTACATCCAGCTGAAATGGTAATCCCATCTCCACAAATCATCAGAGGCAAAAGGCTCTGACTTCTTGTCTCCTCCTCCCCATTTTAACCCTTTTTCCAACCAGCCACAGAATCCTGGCTCTACCTCCCTAATGCTGGGACTGAAGGCCCGTGATGCTAAGGACTAGGATCAAAGGTGTGAGCTCTGTTGCTCTTCGCTTTTGTGTAAGTCAGGATGGTCTCAACCTCAAAGAGGTCCATATACCTCTTAATCCTGAATCCTGGGATTAAACATGTGCAGCACCATTTTCTAGCTTCTGGAGTTAACTAGTAGGGCTTCTTTGCCATTTTGATCTCCAGGGACTTTAATAAATCCTAAACAATATATCACCACAGAAGGAAGCCATCAAGGGAGTGCATGAGAATTTCCTTTCTAATCGGCCCCACCCTCATCAAAAAAGTTTAGCTTAGTGACGCCCTTGGATTCCATTCACAGCCATGTGCTGCTGGAGGCTGGGCCCTCAGACAGCAGCAGGACAGCTGAGAAGATAGTGATGTGTGTAACCCCTAGACATTCCTGAGAATGACTTTGACAAACAGATGCACCCAGGCACAGAAAGCTGGGCCACCTTGTTGGAAGCCTGCTGTACTCTAGAAGTGCCCATGTGTTTCTGCTTTAGTCCAACAGGGAGGCAGGGTTAATGGGATGCATCGGGATGGAGGAGACAGGTTTAGCTGATCTCAGTATGAAAAGCCTATGAGGGGACCAGCCTTCAGGCTGCAAATACAGGGCAGGCCAGAAGTTGCTGCGGACATGTTCTGCATATCTTTCAACACACGTGGACCTGAAGGGAAGCTTCCCATCAGCCCCAGGGTACTTGGCATGGCTATGCCTGAATTCACAGCACACATTCACACAGGACTTCACGTGGGGAGTGTGTCCTCTGCTCCCCATAAGGCAGTAACTGTGTCTTTTCCCACTGGCAGGAGCTGGACATCACAGTCTGATATGATTGGAAGGTGGGCATGGGGGAGACCGTAGTGACAGACAGGTCCCAGGGTTGTCTATGGCATACAGGCCTGCCACAAGATTGTTTATGAGCTGGCCTTGAAATCACCCTGCACTTGACCTGACCTGAGAGAAGTGCTGGAGTGTTTACGGATGACCCCACACACATCACACACACATACACACAAACACACATCACACATCACACACACACACACACACACACACACACACACACACACACACCACACCACACCACACACACACACACACACAACACACACAGTCACACAACACACATCATACACAAACACAAGACCACATGCACACACACATCACACATACAGACACAAACACACATCACACAGACACACATCACACATCACATCCCACACATATCACACACACACACAGACACACACATACACACACAACACACACACAGACAGACAGACACAAACACACACACACTCACACACACAGACACACACGAAACCACACCACACACACACACACACACATACACACTCCACACACACAGAGACACACACACACATCATACACAAACACACACACCACATGCACACACACATCACACACACAGACACAAACACACATCACACAGACACACACATCACATCCCACACATATCACACACACACACAGGCACACACCCACACAGACACCCCCCCACACACACACATCACGCACAAAAAAAACCAGAAGGCACAGCATCCAGCTAAGCTGGGACTGAACCTGACTAGGAGCAACCAGGGAAAGAAGAAAGGAGAGACTCATGTACTGAAATGCTGGAGTCAGGCAGCCATGGGCCCTCTTGAAATGGCATCAACTACAGAAACAACCAAGAACCTCAGCTTGTTATGAACACAACAGGAGACATTAGCTACTCTCGGTGTCTGGATTTGAACAGTGTCAGGTTGTAAACATCTAGGTGGAGGAAGCTGCAGCTGTCATGAGCATTTGCCCACATAACCGGCCCTCCCTAATTAATCCTTAATTGGGATTTGTACAAACTGTCCACATTCACACTCCAGAGGAAGGCCTTGCTATTCCTCTGAGACTCACCCCAGAGAAGGCTTTGCCATTGTTGGGCCTGAAGCCATGCCTACATCTACCTTCACCTAGGACTTCCCCTGCTGTTTATGCATCCACTCAGGGCTTTTGTAGTTGGCCACAAAAGGGGTTGGGGGATGTGCTGTGGGGTGGGGTCTTCATCCATGTGGTAACTGCAGCCCTTGTCCCTACTGTGTGAGGCTTTCCAGATGTGACTATAAGGGGAGTAGTGAGTATAAGGGGAGGAGTGCCCACACCCTGGAAGTAAGCAAATAAATGAAAAATAAACAAATCCTTATACAAAAGAACAAATCAGAGACCACACTTCCAAACAGAAAGCATGTCTGGTCCTTTGTAAAGATGCTGATATCAAGGGCGTCTTCTGGCTTTTACTTTGAAGGAACTTGTTACATTGGGGGGCGGGGGATTTTTGTTT